CCTATTGATGCACTTGGGAGAGTAATGCGACCGATGCTCTTACACCCTAGGGCACGAGACGCTGAGTGACGCGAACAACTCACTAGTGCACATCTTGTTATACGGTGTCATACTGCTGCCTCTGCAATTACTACCACTATGAATCGTAGTCGTGCAATGCCTATAAAAATGAGACCACAAGTCAGTTCACCTCTTTTGAAGCAGAACCTAAAAGACGTACCCAATATCAGACTCGTACCACGCGAAGATTGACCCAACATTCTGATACGGAATGCATCTGTCCTCGCCGGGAAGTACGTAGATGTTCCAAGCAGGACCGTTGTTTTGATCGCAGTTGAGGTTGCTAAAGATCCAAATCTTGGCAAGGTTTTTGGGCAGGTTGCCGGATAGTGCGTCGCGGCCTAGTTTGGCTGTTCCTGCATCTAGTGCAGGCAGTGCTTCTGTAAGCAGTGCGGGTGCTGGATTGGCCGTAAATGTGGCTGCCAGAGCGCCGAGGCTGAAGAGGAGGGGAGATAAGTGCATGATGGCTCTCTTGCAATACCAGGACTCAAGTGACGACGTTCTGAGATTGCTTTGATAGGTGCTCCTGGTGAAAGTCGAGGCTGCGTATCTTATACGCGTAGCTTACCATGTCTCTAGTGCCAGAGCCAGCGGCAAAGGTCCTTCGAGACATGTGTGAGATGCTGGCAACGCTCATAGTGAGTATAGGGAACGTTTCAAGTCGATAGTCTTGCGATCGTGAAAGCCTTGTTCGTGCTAATCGATGCTACGACGCCTTTCTGCTTCCGCGCATCGTGAGCGCCACCTCCTCCTATATTTCGTATAGCCCTCTGCCACATGGAACGACAACAATCTATTTAAAACCAATCGTAAACACATTTGGCCTTGTAGGCAGTAGCTCTTGAGTGTGTATGTCTCACAATGTCATTTTGTGGTCATAGATGTCGAGTTCGCTAGCAGGGCTCGGAGTCCGAAGAACAGTGACAGTTAGCGGGGCTAGGGCGTCTAGTGACAACTAGGAATTACAGTTCGCTGAGAGCGTACAATCGGTTCGAGTGTAATCGTATGCAGGTTGAGAAGCTGACAAAAGCTGGTGTACACGATTCGTAGGCGGTGTCAGGCAACTAACGGCCGGCATAGTGTCACCAAAATCTGTAAGCTAGCCCAACTAGAATCTAAATTCCCATATTGACAGCACATGTGTCATCTGTAACGGGTGATACGTTCAGTACAATCTGGTTGCTTGCAGGATATTAGCCGAAAGATGCGATGAAGTTTAGATCCTTGGGGGAGGCTCAACTACCGGGATGTGCAAAGTCAGGCAAACTTGACGGGTAAATCACTCATCTATACGAAGAATTTTTAACATGAGGATGATCTTCTGACTGCTCATCCTCTGTACTCATAGTATACATTATCTTGTAATATACATTATATACTAACTATGTAGGGAAATGAGAGACTTATGGGTTAGGCTAATGTGATGATGACGTATGAAAGCGAGTGGTGCGTAAAGAGCGTTGCGACATCCAGTATGTGGGTCTATCAGTGCCCCGGTAAACTCATGGGAGTACGACCTGTACAGTCCGGGCGATGCTAGGAACTCCCTCCTTCGACATGACAAAGACGTAGTAGGCACCTGGGATGAGAATGCCGCTGTCGTCAGGCAGTGTAGCAGTGTAACTGCATCCATCACCCTTGACGTTGGTCAAAGGCACGCGGCGCTGATCGGTGTTGACGGAGTGTGTGACGCTGCCGATGCGGACCAAGGCGAACTTGAGGCCTGGTGTAGACGTCTCAACTTGGATGGTCAGTTTGCCTCCAACCTTGACGCTCTCCGCGCTCAAAGAGCTGATGACTGGTCGGGTTGCGGGGGTACCGTCGTTGTTGAAGAGATATGGTGGGGAAAAGATCTGGCCATCGGCATGGTCGACGAGTTTGTTGCAGTTGGCGGAGCTGCGGCCAACTCCCTGCGCGACGTAGCAGAGACCACCGCCACCGGAGAAAACGCGTCCATCGGCCAACAGGATGCTGACTGAGTGATAGTTGCGGGGGACAGCTTGTGGTGCTAGAGTCTTCCAAGATTTGGTGGCTGGGTCGAACAATTCTGGGTAGAGAGCTCCATCCGTATCGGTGAAGACCAATGAGCGTTTCTGACCACCGCTTACGAGAACTTTTCCGTCAGGCAGAACGACCGCGTTGGAGAAACCGCGAGGGTAGGCCATGTCCGCGACTCGCTCAACCTTGGCAGGGGTGTTCGGCTCGCCGATTGTAGTGATGTGGGCCCGAGCGTTGGCGTCTGCGTTGGTGTAGTCAGGCGCGCCGCCAGCACTCAAGATCTTGCCAGCAGTGGCATCGTACATGACGAAGATTCCACACATCGCATCATCAATGGGGTCACGAATACCAGCAGCGACTTGCGATCCAGTTCCCTTGGTACCGTACCAGTTCATGGCCTTGCTTGGACCGGCCTGGAAAACGGAGGCGTTCTTCCAACCAAACAACCATGCATGGTTGTCTTCACGCCAGATGCCTTCATGGTCGGTCGTGAGCATAGCCTTCATCTTCGCGTTTGGCAGTGCCGTCCAGGCGTTGGTGGCAGGGTCGTACACTTCGCCGTCTTTACCCTTGCGTGGACCAGAGTATGCACCTCCGATGGTGAAAACGCGGTTGTCGGATGTCGTCGTGGATGATTGGTAGCCGCGAGCCATTTTCCTAAGTACCATCAGTATGAAGTTCATATCATTGAGCTAGAAAAGACTAACATGTCGGGTGCACGAGTGAATCCGTTTGATGCTGGATCATAAAGACTGGCCGCGGAAGCGTCAGATCCTCCTTGGATCAGAAGCTTTCCGTCCTGAAGACTGCTCATTGCGGGACAGAACATGTCGTGATGAGTGTTGCTCACTGTACGAGCTGAAACAGCTCCACTGAGAGAATATTAGCGTGCGTTGATGATACTGGACCACTATGACTTACGTGTTGAAGTTGTAGTCCGCAAATTGAGTGCGTCCACCAGCACCTCCGAAAGCATCAGCGCCCCAACTCGAGAATACGAGAAGACGTTCCGAGACAGGGTATTCCGGGACGACATATGCAGCAACCGGGATGACGGGCAGGCGGATAAGATCTGACCATTCACCATCCTTCGCAGGCGCAGGCGCTACATTGAGACGCATTACATCGAAGCGTTTGTCGGTTGACCAGATCAAAGTGTTACTGCGCGAGTCGGCTTTGATGTGGCAAGCCTTCTTGGCAGAATCGTAGACAGCGGCGGTACATGTGGCCCAGTTGGCGCAAAGGTAGGCACAGGTATCAAATGTGTTCACGCCTTGCCATACCTTCTCGCTTGGTCCGCGGATGTCGGTGCCAGGGCAGATGCTGTATTGTTTCTAGCGGTGCAATGTTAATATCCGCGTGTCTCAAGCTACTGGGGAGCAGACTTACCCTGTTTCTGTGATACGTCCATTCGCCAGCAGGGCAGCGAGCGATGTTCACTTGCTCTGCTTGAATGACCTGGAAGCGATCGTTGGCAACCCAATTCAGGCCGGCAAGATCCTTGAAGTGGCAATCTTTCGTCTTGGTATCGAACACTGCCTTGAAGCAGTCCATACTCTTGTCGCAAAGTTTTGCGCATGCTGTAACCGAAGCAACGCGCGTGATCGATTTCGTAGGTCCTGTAAGGTCGGTACCGGGGCAAACTCGATATCTGATGCCTTCCGCTCCAGTAAAAATATCGTCGTTGCCAGGGCAAGCATTAAGACCGTTGGTGAATTGTAAAAGAGTGGCTGCCGAAAGCACGGCGAAAAGAGTGCGGACCTGCATCTTGGATGTGAAATCAGACAACTGGCCTGAGGCAGGAATCGGAGGACTGGCGTCAACTATCTATATACCCGTCCCAGCCACGATCCCATAACGGTGACCCGCATAGGAGTTTGCAAAAATGGATAACATTGAAACGAACGAGGGGATTGTAGACCTAGCATCGAAGAGGATAGCGTACTGCCAAGATGGGAACCGTTCGTGAGTAGCTACCCTGTATATGCTCACCTATATATCGTATTTTAGTATCTTCGATAGCGCTAATGGCACCAGATCCGGACCTAACAGGGGGTTCATGTCAACGGTAGCGGGCCGGGAGACCCAGGCAGGTTAGCGATGATGCCACTATCGGTATGCTCGGTGTTCCTGGAGTCATGCTGTTGACTGCGCCTCAAGCAAAAGATCGGATGGATCTCGGCTCCTGGGTCGTGATGTGGAGTGTCGCATTGTTGTAATGAGTTGTTATGCTGATGCGATGACCCCAGTTCCCACATTTTCATGGGGACATGTGCCTTTTCCTCCGACAGAATGCTATACCTGACAGTATTTCATACATCCTGAACGGCCTGCTGAAGGATTGCGGCGGTGGTTCTACACGCGCCAGCTGGCAATTATCGATTCCATGTCAGGCTGCTTGAAACGCCAAGGCCAACGCTCCACCCCACCCCTGCGCCCATCAGGGAGACGTTATCTACAAAAAAAGAACTTCATGTGAATAACCACCGTCAAAACTCCGCCCCTGTTCCCAGCGCATGGGAATTGCAGGAACAGCTCTATCGGAGGTATCGTGGCGGATCCACACGATTTAAAGCCGGCTTTATAATGTACTCTAAATTTCAGCCACGCAATCCATTGTAGCTGCGATGCATGACGTTGAAAGGTAAGAAGTGACGGCTGCCGGCACAACGGCCGGAGTGCAGAAGGCGATTGGGGTATCCTGGTGTGAATGCGGCTAGGTCAGCCGAGACGAAGGCGGCGCTTGCACTGGACTTTTGACTCAAACTGAAAGGGAGGCTCGGTGAATCTGTCGTGACAGCTGAGACACCCTGGTCCTCACTGCTCGAGTCAGTCTATTGATACAAAGAGCAGCCCGTCTTGGCGATGGCTTCTATGGGCACGATCACGTGTCGCATGAGGTACTCATCGAACAAGAGGATCTACGCGTGAACACGGTAGGTTCACCAGCCTTGACCGGGCATTCCAGCCCAAGCCGGCATTGGCCAATCCCATGGATTGCCATTGTAGTTCATCGAAGCTTGTTCCATGGGAAAAGCTACACAGCCCAGATTCATGCTGCCACGGGTAACGCTCGATTGGGAGCCGAGACTGTCCAAACTAATGAGCTCGGACGTTTGTGGATCATCAAGACCTGGCGTCTGGAATTGCGACTCTGCCGCTAGTTTGTCCCTTAGGGCCATCTTTTGTCTGATTTGCGTCACGATAGCTGGTGGATCCGATTGTTCGGACGTTATTGCTTCACGTGCCGACCAAGCTTGTAGAACAAGCCCCCCAAAGAGTGTGAAGAAAGGGTTGTTGGGTTTGGTCTCCACCGGGCTGTCCTTTTTCTCGAAGTCCATCAACCGAGCGGCGCAGTTCTCGCTCATTGCCTGCCACCATCGATCTGCGAGTTGGCCTAGTGGGCGTATTTTCAACTCTTGGGCGAGATGAATATAGGCAGGGAACGGGAAGTGCATGTAGACAACCCAACGGAAATTTGCTATGAGGGGTGAGGTCATGAGCAGCGTATCGCACTCAAGCATACGGTGCGCAAATCCAAGACCAACGTTGCGCTGCTCCTCACTTCCTTGCGCAAGTCCCTTCGAGTTGTTTGATAGGTATTGTGCAAACCCGATCTTTGCGAGTGACGCGCGCGCCATCCACATGGTTAGAAAGTGCAGCGGGTTTTGAGCATCGCAACGCGTAAGATACTTTTGCTCTATCGTTGACTTAAAAGCGGCAAGCTCGTCAAGCCTTGAATGGGAGGCGTCAAATGCCTTCTTGGAGAAGGACTTCAGGGCCGGATTGATGAAGTCCAAATGAGATGGGCTTTGACGAATGAACTCGCCAATCTGGCTACGGATGACTGGAAATAAGGCTTCGGAAACGACCTCAGACTCAACAGGAGGGGTCTTGGTCTCGACTCGTAAGTTGAAATCGTTGACGTTGAGCGGGGCTTTGCAATCCCATGTCGGGATTAATGTAGTGGACTTGCTCTCGGTCATTTCAGACATCCTGTTGTCAAAGAGTGAGAGAGACCACCATAGTCTTCTGCGCAATTCGGCCTCTAGCACGCAATGTCTGGAATTGGCAGATTCGGCATCGATACCCATTCGCTGAGCAATGCGAACAGCAGCCCCTAGCATCGAAGACAATGACCGTGGGTCTGTGTCTGGTTTGAGTGAGACCAGGTAGAGATGGAGGGCTGTCAAGCATTCTCGATCGTTAGACTTCAAGAAGTTACAATTCAGCAGCGCCTCCCTTGCACCCAACTGGTAAGATCTGATCAGGTCCGGCTTAGGCCTACCAAACCATGATTGACACTGCTCCTGATTGAGGCTGAAAATAGCCATGCAATAGATGGAGAACATTAGGGCCTCCAAATTTGGATCGATATGTGAGATGTCGCTAGCGGCATCGATGATGCGTGGCTGGAGGGTAGGCGTATGGGTGAGCTTCAATAATGGGTCGACATTCTCAAGGTACAGTTGCCAAAGTTTGAACACCTGGCTTTGTGGGGGATGGAGAACTGATAGGTCGACGGCCGTACTACGCGAGCAGAACAAGAGATCTTCGTTACGGTGTAGTTTCTGCGCATAGAGGTTATCCCAGGCTTGCACAATCTGCGCTTGTTGTAATGCGTGTTGCGAAGAGCCGCTGTTCTCGGAATCGTCGTCGCTGCTGCCGTCGTCATCAGCATCGTATGCTAATCGGTTTAAGGCAAGCCAAAAACTCCTAGTCTAGTTAGTAGTGTCTTTTTCAAGTGCTACAGTTTCTGCGTACTTGGGTTGGGTGTTGTCGGTATCTGATATGGTGGACGATTGAGCTCTGGAAATCTCCTGACCGCGACTGACGTTACTCTCGTGGGGCCCTGTGGATAAGTTCGAAGATGCATGTAAGGGTTGGAAGGTAATGCCGTTCGTCTTCAAGAGGTCTTCGTAGTGGCGAAGACGCTCAAGCAGCTCCCGTTCGGCAAATCTGCGACGTCGTTGCCGTGGTTGCGTCGCTGCGGAAATGCATTGCACACCCGCCTTCTTGCAGTTTGAGCAAGGAAAAGCCCGGTCACATTTGACCTTTCTTTGCGCGCATAGCACGCACGAAAGCACGCGCTGAGACTTGCTTGCATGCGCTAATGGAGACAGTGCATCGGCACTGAGTTCAGGTGTGGGTATATCAGACGACATGTCAAGGGAACGAGCTCTCTTTCGTGACAGCGGTAGTGATCAGGTATGCGAGCGCGGAGTGGAAAAGGCCACCACAGAGCAGGTGGCGAGGCAGGCGCTAACCAAGCAGCCAGGCAACCAGACGCGACGCGCTCGCCTGGCTCTGCTTATCCCCGGGCTGACTGCAACGAAAGAGCATTGTGGCTTCATGTGAGAAATATGGGTCCTTGCGACGAAGAGGGCGGTTCGCAGGATAGCAGGCAGGCAGGCCGGCGCAAGAGAGTGCCCAGGCTCGATACCACCATCACGACGCGTGAGGCTTACGTAAACCGCACTTCCCGCTTCAGTCGCGTTCGTCAACCACATCCACTCCTTTCTCTTGTTTCAGCAGTGGCGGAATGGCATCTATCGTAACATCTCCGCAATCTTCGCGCGTTTGATCACGCGTATCAACTCCGATGTATGGACTTCATGTTCGATACGCGATGGCGTGGTGACGCGCCTCAGTAAGGTGCGGCCAGCCTCTCGGTCAGTTCTAATCCCCGAGCCCATCACGTGATTTCTCTCCCATCCAACACCAACTCTGGGCATTCAGGACATTGAATTGTCACAACACATCAAATCGTTAGTATGCATTCGGAGTAACTCTGGTATCCCCAACCCGTCCTGGACCACTCATTACCCCGCAACAGGTCGAAGTTCGCTTCCAATGTTTGCGTAGACCGCCTCCATGTCGGACATTTCTACTCCCCGAACGGGATTGTATTGCAAAACACCATTCGGCACGTTGGACATACCGAATGTACATATAACAGCCAAGCTTCTCTCGACAGTATCTTAGTGTATCCAATCTCAAGTTTCTCTTTGTACCCCACTGCGCCTATTCCGAAGTTTACGCCATGACTACAACATCTCAAGTTGGGACTACAACAGTGGCCCAGTCCGCTAGTTTGCACGAAGACCTTAAAAAGGATGCCTCACTTTCATCCTCTGGAGGCAACGAGTACGCAGATTCCGAGGAGAACTATAAGCCCAAAACGCTTAATTTTTGGCTCGTCATCATCTCGATCTATCTGGCCTTCTTCCTTGTTGCTCTCGACCGCATGATCATTGGTACGTGAAGTTCCTCCGTCTTCAGTCCTTACTGACACTGTTTAGCTACTGCTATACCGGCAATCACAAACACATACGGCACTATCGCGGATATAGGCTGGTATGGTAGTGGCTATATGCTCACGTGCGCCATTTTCAATCCACTCTTCGGCAAAATATACCAGCTTTACGATACTAAATCCACGTTTTTGGTGTCCGTCTTCCTGTTCGAAGTTGGCAGTGCATTGTGTGGGGCCGCACCTACTTCTGTTGTTCGTAAGTAATCCACCAAATCGCGAGATGATGCACTCACTGACCCTCGTTGAAGTCATCATCGGTCGCGCAATCGCTGGTATTGGTGCAGCTGGACTTCAATGTGGTGCGGTCATGATCATTGTACCTCTCGTGCCATTGCGAAGGCGACCCATCTTCACTTCTTTTCTCGGTCTCGCATTTGGAGTGTCATCTGTATTGGGGCCATTTGTTGGAGGCACATTTACTGACAACCCGTAAGTCTCCAGACTTTCTTCATGAGTCACGGTTAACACGCAAATAGGACCTTGACGTGGAGATGGTGCTTCTACATAAACCTCCCCATCGGTGCCTTGACGTTCGCATGCATATTCTTCTTTCTGGATCTCCCTTCAACGCCTAAAGAGAAGCTGTCCGTTCTCGCTCAGCTCAAGCGCCTCGACCCAGTAGGTCTTCTCTTCTTCGTACCATCCATGGTATGCCTTATCCTCGCTCTTCAGTGGGGAGGTACGACCGATCCCTGGTCAGCACCGAGAATCATCGGCTTGCTCGTCACATTTGCCGTTACTTTCATCGCATTCCTAGTTGTGGAGTTTACGATGCCAGATACAGCCATGGCCCCGCCTCGGGTCATCTTGAACCGTTCGATGGGCGGTGCTATGCTATTCATCTTTCTCCTCGCTGGCGGTATGATGAACGCTGTATACTACATCTCCATTTGGTTCCAGGCAGCCCAGGGTCAGTCTGCTATGCAGGCCGGTGTACGCACGATACCGTTGTGCACATCGCTCATTGTCTTCGGCATTGTCACAGCCGTGATAACTCAGAAGATCGGATACTATGTCCCTGCTTTGCTCCTTTCGGCCGTTGTCGCATCAATCGCCAGTGGCCTCCTTTCTACACTTACACCGGAGTCGAGCGCTCGCGAATGGATTGGTTATCAAGTCTTCTACGGGTGCGGGCTTGGCTTTGGGGCTCAAACAGCGAACTTGGTGCCGCAGACTATCCTGCCACGCTCAGATGTGTCCCTAGGCATGGCGATGAGTAAGTTCCTCTGTACGAACTGCATGTTGAACATACGCTGACTTCGTAAACCTATAGTCTTCTTCCTAAATCAACAGGGTGGTGCTATCTTCCTTGCTGTTGGACAAAATCTTTTCTCGACTCAGCTCGTCAAGCAACTATCGGGTAACTCCGAACTCGATACCGAACTCATCATCAACACCGGTGCAACAGACCTCAGAAAAGTGGTAGCGGCGAAAGAGATCGATACGGTAGTATCGGCGTACAGCTACTCCATAACTCGGACGTTCCTGCTAGCAGCAGCACTCAGCGCTTGCACCATCATTGGAGCGTTGATGGTGGAATGGAGGAGCATCAACGCACGTGCGGGTAAGCCAGCAAAAGAAGCGTCGAAAGACGTAGAGAAGGAGGCTGCTTGATGTGAACCACTGTGCACCTGGGATATATAACAACGAAGCAATTAACGGCGTTGGAACTAGAGGAATTATAATTAGACGAGAGCTCGATATAGCATCGCAGAACTTGTTAGATAATTGATCGTTATATAATGAAGTTTGGCAAAACCATCAACAAATATATCGAATGAGCCCTTGCTACTTGCGACTAATTGGCCAAGTTACTGACATCAGCGCTGCGCATCCTCTCCGTTGACACCAAGAGCTCTTTCGGAAACCATTCCGATACCTTGCCACCCGGTCTCCCCGGAGCTTCAGGTAAGTCCTCTTCTTCACTACCAGCAATCATGATACCAAGAGCAGCACCTGAAAGCCAAGCCCATACCATGCCTTCTCCCGAGAAGCCCGCGGCAATCCACTCTCCACTCGAGTCCTTGTCAGACACCACGCGCTTTCGTGCTTTGATATTCCGCCCCGTTAGCTTTGCATCCAAGCGACCGACGAATGGCATGTAATCGCCAGTCAAACCAATGATGCCAGACCACATCTGCTTCACCTCAGCACCAGCACCCCATTTGGGATGGAAAACTGCTGGAAAGACACCCGTGATGTGTGCGGCGGTCAAAGGATCGAGTAGAGGGCCATCGTCATACCGACCCACTTGATCGATACCTTGCTTTAGCGACCGCACGAAACCGCCGCCAATCATCAGATCGCCTTTGGAATCACTCGTGGCTGGTGGTCGTTGTGTGACGTAGTCGAAGCCCTCGCCGTAGACTACACTCCATGAGCGCATGCCGTCAGCATATGGAAATGTTTGTCCTGGTTGCTGTGCAGACATGTGGGCTCGTGCGCCAACAATTCTGCTGCGAAGACCTGGGACGAGATGACTCGCGAAGCTGTTGGTGGCGTGGACTATATTGCGGGCGAATATCGTTCCTCGGGTAGTTTTTACAGCGTATGGGAAGTCTTCAGGCGCCGTGTCTGCGATGCTGATTGACTCTACGGGAGTGTTCGTCTCGATAGAGAGGGTATCATGAAAATCGTTGAGAAGATTATCCCAGATAGATGCAACGAATC